GACCCAAGCCAAACCAAACAACAACACTCACGTTTTATCACCTTGGGCACTGTCAAAAAATAAATTGTTTTTGTTTTTCCAAAAAAAAAAATCAATTGTTTGTCCTCCCAAAAAAAAAAACCAATAAGATAAATAATTAATGTGCAAGTGTCGATCAAATAACAAACTTCTTTTAAAAAAAAAAGATGTCGGCTGTTGCTGATAAAAAAAGAAGAAAAATAAAAGGAAAAAACGAAGAATTTGAAAGAGGGTAAGTGTTTTAAGGATGGTGGTGGTTATCGCCCACCACTCGTCGTTACTCTAGTTTTATATATAACTTTGTCTTTTTCATTTACTTAGATTTACAACCCAAATCATAAGCAGATTGGGGGAGGTACATCGTCTAACCCCCCAAAGCGTCAGAGATTTTTTAAATTCCGAAGTGGATTTAATTAAATCTTTGAATGATATTATTATGAATATTTCAGATAAAATGCAAACATTTTATTTTTTCTTCAAGAACTTTTTGGTGAGAGATTTTCAAAGAAAAAATTTCCCTACCTTATTAATTTTGATATGGGATTTACACACTTCATTCCAGTCACATATGTGCCAGATAAGAAAGATTTAATTGAAATCTATCCCTTAAACGAAATTCCGTCCATATATGGACGGAATTGACAATTCCGCTTTTTTTTCACAAATAAAAGTTCTTCATCTTAACTCTGAGCATTATATTTGCTAAGTGAAAAATGATTGTGAAAACCATTTCTATAAGCTTGTAAAACCTAAATATATAGTCATTTATGCACTTTTCCAAAAATATTCTTTAGAGTGAATTTCCGAAAAGAACTAACATATTATCCGAATCCCTGTTTCTCTTTCTTTCACTAATAACACTTGTCTATTTTTTTTTTAGTAAAATAACACAAGTTCAATATACTTAGTAAATAAAAAAAAATTTAAAATTACATGACTTTATGAATTGTATGACTATAAATTACATGACTTTAAATCGTAAGACTTTAAATTGACTATAAATTGTATGGTATAAATTGCATGTCTATAAATTGCATGTCTTTAACTCTAATGTACACAATAATACCAAATTCAAGTATAAAATCCATCATAAACTGGCTTTTTACATTAAATTTTTTGATTTCCCTCAAGATTTTTAAAAATACAAAATTTTTACCATATATAAAAATCAGAAGTTGTATTTACAAAGTGGCTTTTTTGTTATAAGTAAACTTATTAATTGTAACATGCTTCATCACATATTTAACACTTATTCATGTGACATTGATGTGGTAAATTTTCCGGATAATAGCGACTCCAAAATTGATTAAATTTTTTGCATTTTTAAAAATGCTTTATGTTGCTACCAACAAAAGTTTCACAAAAAAGTTTTTTTAAACCAAAATAAGTTAATAGGCATAAATTACATTTTTTTTTTCTATTAAAAAAATCCAAAAAAATAAATAATTGATTATTATATTTTTTAGTCTAGGGGGGTTTGAAGTTACATCAAATTCCATCCATATATGGACGGAATTTTGATGAATTTAAGGGATAAACGACGTGGTGCTATACTATGCAAAAGAAACCAAAAGGGCGTAGATTTAATTATTCCTATATATGAAAAAGAAAGTAGAAAAATAGGAACAATATTGATCCAGGTATAATTCTGCATATTATTCTTGATATTTAATCCATTTGCACATATTAACATATCTTTATTAGATTAAAAATCATGCAGATAAAGACAGTAAAATATCTTATGAGCTTGGATCACCTTTTCACCAAATATTATATTTGAGGAAGATTTAGCCAATGAACTAAAAGATAATAACAATCTAGGTTTATTACTTCATGTTGGTAAGAATATATATTTAACATTTGCTTTATATTCATGTTGATATCTAGAACTGTTATGGATTGTTTTGATAAACAATTGTTTGCATTTGTAGTATCAGCATATGCAAATGACTTTTCATTAAAGGAATACTATTATGATGAAATACATAAACAATTAATTGATAATCCTTCTCAGCCATATGAACTTCGTAATAGATCTGATTCCACATGTAATTCATGTAATCGACTTGTTGCCTGTGGTTTGGAGGTATTTAATCTTGCACCAAAGACCAAAGAAATTTTTGAAAATCTTTTGTGTTCATGGACTGATCCAATCCGATTTGCCAGAGAAAATAATGTTGAACACCTCTTGTACAGAATGATGTCATATACATATTCTAGAAAAAGGTAACATATATTTATTTTTTGATTCTACTCTGATTATTGTATTAATTTATTCATCTATATTATATATCATGCAGATTACGTGATTATGAAGAATATTCTAGGGAAAATATAAAAATTGCAAAAAAAGAACATCAATAATAGGTCAAAAATATCTTAATTGAATGATTATTGTTAAGTATGTCAAAATAGTTTTACAATATTGAGTTTTCCAGGCAAAGAATTTTGTTTTACTGGCTAATTTTTAGTAACCAAAAATTCAAAATCATTCTTACAAGATGAAATATTTATCTATTAGAGATAGATTTAACTTATAATACAATATTTTTATAGAAAAATTTATTTTTGTAATAATAAAGTCAATAACATGTTTTCACTTTGAAATTATTTTTTTAAAAATTAAAAAAAAACTAATACATTTAATCCTGAAAGTCAATAGTTGCTTTCTTGGTATGTCTGTATAAATAATTGAAAAATCTACAAAGTGAACAAAAAATTATAAAATTATATATATAGGGATAAGTGTATATGAAAAGTAATAGTGTCACCGATTAAATTTGGGAGAGCATATTTTAATTGGTGATAACAATTATTTTTGTTTTTGCGTGGATCAGAATGAATAGGGGATCAACGAATTGATTTTGTTATTAGCGAATAATTTTGGGTAAAGAAGATAAAAGTTTTAAATAAAATATTTCTATTTTATTTATTTAGTTTTACTTAGTCGAAACTAATTAACTTGTTATCAAGTTACTTACTTAGTCGAAACTAATTAATTTGTTAGAAAGTTACTTTTACATTAGGTCGAAATTAAGTTCTTTATATACATGTTCTTTACATATTAGCCCGAATTGCGCGAATCCGCACGTTTTGAGCGAATCCGCCCGTTCCGGGAGAATCGTCATTAATCTCTACTAAATAAAGTTAAATAAATATGAATGTGCTACGGATTGATTAATAATAAATACGCGAAACGCAGTGTTGTGCAATTGGAACATTGTAATGCTATTGGAATGTTCCAATGTGGCTCCAATGGTTTCAATGTAGATCTTCAATTGATATTGACCAATAAAATTTGTGTGTGAGACACTCTAATTGAATTTCATTGGTTAACTTCATTGGAACCACATTTGGAACATTCCAATTCCAATTAGAATTTGTTGTAATGTTCCAATGAAATTTTATTGGAACCATAAATGGCACAACGCTGGCGAAACGTAACACGAATTCAGATGATAATAAATAATTATACACGTTATTGATAAATAATAGATTAAATAAAATAATAATAAAAATAAAAATAGAAATAAAATTTAAATTGTCCCGGAATTAAGAGATTCGACCAAAAGATCTGCGTCAAAATCTAATTCCGGTAACAATATCCATGGCTTTAAGAGCAATTTCTTGGTTTGACACTCAAAATGATGCTAAAGCAAAGGAAATTATTAATGATAAAGAGAATAACAATAAATATATTTAAAATTACAATTAACAAAGTAGTACTAGGGCTATATATTTATAAGAATTTAAAAGCAGAGATGCTCATTACATTTTACAACAAGGTAATAAACAGATTTAATTATTTATTATTTTCTTATTCATGATAATTAAATAAAGGGAATCAATCTATAAATATTTATAGGATATGGATATACAATATGAGTGTATTAAAAAATTTAGCTCGAAACTTGAATGCTCACACATTACAATTAGTTATAATAAGGCATTAAAAATTAATATAAACATTCAGTCATTTGTTTTAAGATACAAAAGATTAATTAACTTCTTTGCTACTCCTAAACATGAAGACATATTGGAATATAGGGTCTGGATGTACCAATTATGTTGATAATCTATACAAAGATGATTTTAAATCAATAAATCTAAGACAACATCTAAGAGATTGTTGATCAATAGATTCTTGTATGAAGATAATACAGTTAGCTACAAAAGGGAAATGTTAAGTCATATAACAAACAATGTCAAGATCTTGTTTTATAGTCAACTATCTGCTAATGGTGGGGATTTATTGTTGTCACTTATAATTAAAATAATGATATCTTTTATCTCTTTTTGTACTTATCATCATCATTATTATGATTCTCAATTATTTGACCATTGCAACTCATTGTTATTATTAGGTTAAATTTACAAATCACGAAAATTTTGATTGGAGCAATCATTTAATAGTAAATGTGCCCAATGTTCACTTTGTCTGGTTTTGTTGGAGCCCAAACTGTCATAAAGGGGGTTACACATGTAGTAAAGAGGTATTACACTTATGTTTTAATAGTGAGTGCCATAATTAATTTCTACTTTCTAGCATCAAAATTGGAATAATTTTGACCATTGAAATCACCAAACCAATTTGGGCTGCATGTATAATCTGGTCTACTTATTTGAGAATGCATAAGTTTAATAAATTAATAATTCAAAAATAGTATGGTCTTTATAATTAATACTAATAAAAAACTTCTTATTATTCACGATAAACGTGTTAGATGAAAAAGGATATTCGATTAGCTAGAAGGATGAAATAGTCTTTAATTGTGATCTGTTTAAGAAGGAGTGATTTTAAAATGTTGGCAAATGCACCCCGCTGATCACTAATTAAAATTCACTCTCTTAAAAGAATCGCCAAAAAAAAACCCCCGAAATGAGCCCCAAAATCAGCCTGAAACCGTGTAACATTGCAGAAATCGGCGGATATGCCTATATATTTAATTTTGTTACGTAAATTTTGAACAACTTTAAAAAAAATGTCGAACTTGCAAACTACCAACATTACTAACATTATAAAAACATTAATTCTACGACCACAGGATTTTACGCCAAAGCATGCACAAATAGTCTTTTCCGGAATGATGCAACGGCCTACTCATACTACACCATCTCAAATTGCGGCATTTCTTGTAGCTTTAAAACTAAACGGTAAAGATAATGATCCAGAAATAATTGCTGCTTGTTCAGAATCAATGCTTGAAGCTGCTGCAAAAATAGATTTTTCGACTTTTAATAATAATGATGATAATAATGGATTACAAGATTCGCTCATTGATGTGGTTGGTACTGGTGGTGATGGAATGAATACTTTTAATGTATCAACTGCTTCAGCAATAGTGATTGCTGGTGCAGGGTGTAAAGTTGCCAAAGTATGTATATAAAAAAACTAAGTTAAATTAAAATTTTTTGTATTTTTCAATCATTATTAATAACCAATAATAAAAAGTGTGGAAATAGAGCAGCATCATCTAAATCAGGTTCTGCAGATATTTTAGAAAAATTAGGATGTGAAATCTCGAAAATAACACCTGAAAGAGTTGCTGGGATAATAAATAAAACAAATTTTTGTTTTTTATTTGCACAAGTTTTTCATCCGGCTGTCAAGAATGTTGCGCAGTCACGCAGTGAAATAGGTGTACCGACCATTTTCAATCTTCTTGGTCCATTAACTAACCCTGCAAAACCTAGATATATGCTTATCGGAGTTCATTCAAAATATTTGGGTAGTTTAGTAGTCGAGTCTTTGAAATTAAGAGGTGTGGTGAAAAAAGCTATGGTTGTTCATGGTGCTATTGGTTTAGATGAGGTTTTTATTTAATATTTTGAAATTTGAACTATATAAAAATATACATACATGGATTTAATTATTCTTATTATTATTAAAATAATAGATTAGTCCTGAAGGCGAAACTTTTGTGAGTAAAAAAATAATAAATAAATATTATTATTTCCAAGAAATATATATAAATCTTTTTATAAAATAAAATATATATATAGGTTTGGCATCTTTCGGATTCTAAAATTGAAGAATACACAGTTACACCATCAGATTTTGGACTGGAAAGTCATCCCATAAGTTCAGTAAAAGGCGGAACGTCAACAGATAATGCTGAATTATTAAAAAGATTACTTTCTAAAAAAAATAGTGATAATCATTCTACTAACGATAATATTAATGATGGAGCAATTTTAGATTTTATACTTTTGAATTCATCAGCTGCATTAGTAGTAGCAGGTATCGCTAAGGATTTTAAAGATGGGGTTAAACTTGCTCGTGAAAGTATTACAAGTGGTGAAGCTTTAAAAGCTTTAGAAGATTTTAGAAAAGAAACTCTACAACTTTAACAGTTTTTATTAAATTATTTTTTTTATGTTATTAATATCTTTCCTTCTGCAACACACATCACACAAAAAATTTAGTCTTTCGCTTGTAGAATTACGCATGATTTATTATTATTTATATCTAAAAAGCAATAACCTTTGGATTGGGCATTATATACACTTCAAAGTTATCTATATATATATATTTTAATTTAATCATTTTTATTAATTATTATTGTAAAAACTGATTCTTGAGTCCACTAATCTTTGAAGACACTACTTTCATGATATACCAAGAAAGTGGCTCAAAATTTTCATTACAAACTATTAAAGTATTATTATTGACAGACTGTATGTACTATTTAAGGGCTATGGCCATTTTAGAACAGTTATTAGGTCTGTACTAAAATCCAGCAGTCCAAGAATCAAGTAGATCGATATTTTCTACAAAGATTGAAGATGTTTGGATGTGGTGGAACCGGCACTATAGGTGTGACGATGATAGTGATTATTTACATCACTAGCTTCAAATACATCGGCTATCCAAGGATTTTCAATTAATTCTTTAGCTGTAGGGCGCTGTTGTGCTGATCTCACAAAACATTGTGTCAGAAAGTCCATTCCTAACTCTGATATTTGTGAAGGATCTGGCAATGGTGGATGTCCAGTCACGACATGGTACATAATAGCCCATTCATTATCTAAATTAGACCATGGGCGTTTACCAGTAGCCATCTCTAATATACAACAACCTAAAGCCCATATATCCATAGAACCTTTCCGTCCTTTTTCACCGCCTGCTATAATTTCTGGTGCCTAAAGAATAATTTTGTATGTAATTCGAATAATGGGTATATATATCTATGAGATAAATACATATATAAACAGAACAAATTAATTAACTACAAACCATATACATTGGTGTACCAGTTAAACTGTTAACATTTGTTTTTTGAGTCTTAGTTGTTCGACACATTGTCTTTTGATTTTTTGCTAGAATTTTGGCTGCTCCAAAATCCACAAATTTTATATATCCCATATGATCTAGCAATATATCTTTTTTTTTTTTTTTAAAAAAAATTTATAAAACAATAAAACATGACATTAAGTATTTATGAATGTTATAAAATAATAACTTACTATCGGGTTTAATATCTCTGTGTACAATATCATTTTCATGTAGATATATTAAACCTTGCAACATTTGTGCTACATAAAATTTAATTACATTTTCATCTTCAATACGACCATGTTCTAATTGAGATGCCAGCGATCCCCCTTGACAATACTCCATAAATATATATACTTTATCTCGGTGCACTTCAATACCATAATATGAAACAATATTTGGATGATCAAGCATTTCCATAACAGACATTTCCTCTTTAACTGACTTATATAAAGATGATAAAGATGAAGGATCTTGAAAACGTATTTCTTTGACTGCCATTAGGTCACTAGTATCCAAATTAACAGCCAAATAAACTGAACCAAAAGTGCCACCACCTATGAATTTGCCTTGCTGCCAACGGAGTGAAATGTTGGAACTTGAGGATGCTAAAAATACAAGTGATCGATTTTCAAGTTGATCTTCGAGAACTTTTCCAACTAGTCTTTGATCTTGTAACCTTTGTGATCTTCTTGATTCCAATTCATTCAAAGAGGCAATCCATTCTTCTCGAACGATCAATGAATCTTTAGCGCTACTTGAAAGAATACTATTGAATGTTTTATTTTTTATTGAACTGGATGGTTTTGAAGATTCCTCATATTTTTCTTGTTGTTCTATTGCTTCATGAGATGATCTTGCTCCCAAAATGTCCACGTGTGAAATTAATAAAGTCATACATCTAGCTACTTTGTTATGAAGTAAAGAAAATGCTTCCTCACTTAAACCATAAATGTTGCTTCCACGATTTGTTGCCATAGCAAATTCTAGAGCTATGACAGCCCATCGAAAAGTTTTACGATCATTTGGAATGCAGTCATCACATATGAAGCTAACCCAATCGATAGCCATATGTGTTAGCTTTATATTTAGTTGATTTCGTGCAACGTCCCTATGCATAAATTTCATACATCGATGACCTATTTCAGTTGCAAAACTGAAACAATTTTCAATTAGATCTTGAGGTTGAAGGTTCTTTGTCATTTCACGAATTTTCCTAACACTGTCAATAATCATATTAATTAGTTTTATTATGATTTTTTTGAGTTTTGCAATCTCGCGATTAACACTTGAAACATTAGCACGTGTCTCCACTATTGCTTTGATACCACAGTGTTCAACTACATTACGAAACCTTTGTTTACATGCTTGCAATCGAGTATTACCACCATTAGCAACAAGTCTTACACGATAACTTTTAAGTTCAATATTTAATTGACCCAAAGAAACCATCATTATTGGGCCATTCCATTCAAAAGATACTCTTGGTGACAAAATGAGTATATATTCAGTACCATTCAACTCTTCTTCATGATCGCTATTAAGTTGATCATATGGTGTGAGTATAGCTTTAAGTAATTTTTGAATTTGTTCTTGCCTGTCCTTAAGAGATTGTTCAACAATAAAACACACGTTATCTTCATTGAAAGTATCTGGATAAACAAGAACATGATTTGTATGTTCTAAATTTTTTATAAAATTTGGAAAAGTATCATCATCAATAAAATATTCAGTTGCATTTTCAAGCTCTCCAAATAAAAGTCTATTAATAAAATTGTAATTAATAATTAATTAACCTTGCTTTATTTATTATTTATTTATTTATTAACAATTTGAAATTAATACATACTTTGTGAATCGAAATAATTTACGAGATCTTAAACGAACACCATCCAAAATTTTATTATACCATTTAGTGATGTTTGCTGTGTCAATATCTTTTGGCAATTCAAGGTTCGTCTCATAATAAGTTATAACGTTTTGATGTAATTTATTGACAAGAATGCTATAAATAAATAAATATTTATTTAATATTATAAATATATATAAAATAAAAACATTATTGAGGTTTTTTGAAAATTATTACCAAAATTGTTCTGCAGCTTCAATATCACCACCAGCAATATCACGACAAATACCATTTAAAAATGACCACTCAGTTTCTAATATTTCAGCTTCTTTAAAAAATACAGTTTTACAACCACCTTTAAATTTCCATTGTAGTAATCTTAAATAAAATTTCAAAGATTCCAACAATATATGATTATAATTTTCGTTAATGCACGGCGGAATTTCCCAACCAGTTGCAGGTTTTACCAATTCCAAATATTGATGTTTAATTTGACAAGCCAAAATAAGGGAAATACGAAAATCATCCATTCTCTGTTGAATCATGAGCATTGTTGGATCTGTTAGGCGGCTAGAGATTTCAATTAATAGCCTCATGCATTCTTCCATAAGTTTTGTAGGAAAGTTCAAAAGCTTTTGTAACTCATCGATATATGAGGGCAGTTTCATTTTGGCAAATGCATTGGCATTTTCAATCATTATAAGCTTAGCTTTGGATAAAAGTGAATTCAATGTAGAAAGTGTTTTTTTCTCAAATATTTGTTTTAAGCTATTTTCTTTCAATATTCGTTCCAAGAAAGAAGGATTTTCTGCATCTGCTGATTTTGTGATCTCTAAATTTTCACTATTAGTCCAATTTTGCAGAATTTTTAATTGAGTCTGTAAGCTTCTAGTTATTGTTAACCATGAATTCAATGCATCTATGCTATATTGAAAATTCTCTGATTTATATAAGGGTTTTTCAGACATCATTGCCTTCCTAGTTGGATAAAGACCTTCACAATCATCAACTTTTTGAAGCAATGTTACAACTTGTTCAATAGCTGGAACATCGCCAGGTTGAACTTGAAAATCAATTACCTCCTTAAGCGTGGCAGTAACTTGTTGTTTTTTCTCATCCAAGGCTTGTTTTTCTTCTGAAAGTTGTCTGCCATTAGTGGCAGCTCGAATTCCTAACCAAATTTGGTAATTATAATTTGCAGCTTGACGATTATTAGAAGTAGAAATTCTTTGTTTTTCTGACATTATAACTTCACCAGTTAGCACTGATGATAAAAAACTTAGCCAATCTTTTCTTTCCTTTTGCATTTCAGCGGATAGTTCAATATCATTTGGTGATGCTATAATTGAAGGATCAATGTCACCTTCAAAATCATTTAAAGGGAATATAGTTGCATCTTTAGAATCATCAGAATCATCAGAAATATCATCATCATCATCATCATCATCATCATCATCGCTCCAATTTATATTATGTTCCTTCAGATCATAGTTATTACCATATCTAATTTTATAATATTCAGGAGTGTAATTATCATAATATCCTTTTCTTGGAACCGTCGTTTGACTATTTGAATGAAATTGATAACTTTTTGATCCTATTTTTTGATCATTCGCATTTCTATCATCATAAGGATTTCTATCATTATTACTTGGTCTACGTGACTCTTCCTCGCTATTATCTTCCTCATCATAATCATCTTCTTCCTCTTCTTCTTCCTCGTCATTTATATTATGATCCATATATCTGCGATTGATATTGCTATTATTTAGATTCCACAAAAAAAAATAACAATATAATATATATAAATATATATTTAAATTAAATGACCAGTAATCAACCTAAATTATGTCTTTTTCACTATGTATGTGTATGTATTTATTTCTTCTGTATATATTCTCTTTTTTCAAGATTTAGAGAATTTCTTTAAAGCTAAAGCTTTAATTTTTATTGTTGCAACAATCATACATACCCTTATTTTTTTATTCGCGTAACATCAAAATACTAGATTTGGATGTGTATTAGTCAAGAATAGTTGAATGAATGCACTTATTTCTCTTGATCATCTAGAAAATTATAATTCACACAATCAATATCGCCACCGAAATCATCATCATCACCCATTAAAAACTTGGGTGGATATTATTCAAGGAAACACTATTTGGTAGAAGGAACAGAAGGAAGAAATAAAATAGATGTGACTTATAAAAATCTGTAGGTAAACTAAATTAACGTGAAAATTTTTAATTATTATTATATACAAATAGATTAGTATTTTTTTGACTCTAGAACAATAAAGGTAACTTGCAGTGCAGAGCATTATGTGATGATTCAATATTATCAGGGAATAAACGATACTATGGTTTTCATATAACCATTTACCAAATTTTCGAAGACATTCATCCATAAGATTGTGAACTTTTTTGTAGATCTGGAGCATACATGTTCCAAAGCTTATATCTCTTACGTTCATTGTTGTTTGCTTTAACATGAATGGAATCACGTTTACTTTGAATTCTAGCTGTCGCCAATGTAATATTGTCCCATCCTTTTCCTACCAATGTGATAGCATAGGTGTTCTATTCTGTCTATTCCCTTCCTCCATCCAATAATTTGACCACATGGTTTATATCCATTCACGCTCCTGGATCAAAAGCAATGGAGCCGGTGCCTCTATTCCCTTCAACTGCTGAAATTTGGGACCTTGGCTAACAGTCTCAATTTCAAGTGGTTTAGGATGCATAAGTATAATTCACCAAGACAATTCATGATGAGACAGTAATCATATTTTATTTCAGTTTTCTCACTTGATATAATAATACATTTGAGTGATGAATATTCACATTTTTTTCCTTCTCCAATCTGTTGATCTAATACAATTGACTGTAATGTGTCTTTTTTAGGTCTAAAATTTAATTTAAAATCTTTTCTTTTTTTGCAGACATACTTGATTTACAGGTCTCTAATACTAGGAGGAGTATCAAAGAACCCATTTAAGCCAGTCATTGGATGTAAATTTTGAAGATCTATCGATCACGTAAATATTTACCTATAGCGTGCATTTGTGTGTGTTTTTTTCCCCTCCAAAGTCTGATTTAAGAGTTTTCCCTGCCGGAATTTTTTAGAAGATGAAGAAAGAAGTATAGTCGGCGCTCGATATAGTGAAGTTTTGGCTAGTACAAATTTGGAAACTATCTTCTGAAAAATTGAATTTGATTGGATATTAACGCAGAAAGTTTCCAAATTTGTACTAGCCAAAACTCACTATATCGAGCGCCGACTGTACATTGAAGATGACGTCTTCATCCACGATTACATTCTCGTTTACAAAAGATGAATTTGCATCTTACCTACATTTGCCTTTTGGTGCAAGAGTAATATTATTTAAATTACCATGTGTTGGTTTAATTGAATTAATTGTGAGCCATGACCTTTCGGTTATTCCCTTTAAATAGCCATCCTATTCATCTGTGCGCAATGGTTTATAAGAGTCTACCGTAGGTATCCAACGCCTGTTATGAGCTCTCATTCCAGAATGGCTCCAAATGTCCTTATATTTGAAGAAGTTGATTTTAAAATTATTTTAATTAACGTTAAAGAAATATTTTATTAAAATTGGTTTTGGCATGGATGATTAAAAATCAATTTGATAACATTAAATAGATGCTTTTGACTTTATCACAACGAAGAAATTATCTTTATTTTGATAGTATATAGTGTTACTAAAAAATTTTTTTCAAAAATACCAACTATATAATTAATAATAAAGGCATTGTATTAAACAATTAAACTAAATAAATTTATTGATTCGTTTTAATAAATTATTACGTATTTCTATATTTTGCTTAGTAATTAACCCATTTCGCTTAATAATTAACACCGCAGCGATCACTGCCAACTGTGTGAAATCATTTTTGGTTAATAAATATTGTTTTAAGTCGGCGTGCATTTGCGTGTATTAAAGGTTGTCAATCAAACAATAATTTATTTGATTTAAATATCATTTTAGCAAAATTAATTAATTGTCTAATATTTATATAATTAAGATTATATTTATAAAATAAATAATTGAAAATTTTTGAAAATTTTGAAAAAATATCCTAATGACATTATTATGAATACATATGCAAATAAAATAAAATTAGTTTTTTAATGATTAATAATAATATGCCAACCACAATTCTATCTAAAGAACCCCAAAGGAACAAGTTATAAAAACACTTCTAATTAATAAATGAATCGTTCGATGATTAAGTAATAATAATTAAGTAATAATAATAATAAAACAAAAATAAAATAAATAAAGTTAAGAGTTAAATAGAAATCATGTGTGAATTTTTATTATCCTTTGATTAAAAAAAATGATAATGAATAGATGATAGATGAATTTAATTTACAAAAAAATTTGATAAGCAACCTCATTTTTTTCTTTAAATACATAAATATATAATTAATCAATTGTTCTCTTTTTCTTTCACCCTTCATAGTATTAAATCTCACCGTTCCCACATATAAATATATATTTATTTATTTAATCATTTAGCAGATTCGTCTGATGGTGGTGGTGGTTGTGGTAGTGGTACGTCTGGTGATGGTTGTGGTACGTCTGGTGATGGTGGTGGTACGTCTGGTGATGGTGGTGGTACGTCTGGTGATGGTGGTGGTGCTACTGTTACTCCTGGTGGTGATGGTGCTGGTGTATCTGGTGGTGGTGCTGGTGCTGGTGTATCTGGTGGTGGTGCTGGTGTATCTGGTGGTGGTGCTGGTGATGGTGGTGGTGCTGGTAGTGCTGGTGTATCTGATGGTGGTGCTGGCGCTGGTGCTGTTGTATCTGCTGGTGTTGGTGTTGTTACTGCTGGATCTGCTGGTGGTGTTGTTGCTGCTGGATCTGCTGGTGGTGTTGTTGCTGCTGGATCTGCTGGTGGTGTTGATGTTGTTGCGGCCAAATCTGTTGTAGTAATTGATGGAGCTGTTGAAGAAGTTATTATTGATGATGATGTTGATGTTAATGATGATGAATCACTGCCATCAACATTTGAACTAATTGAAGAATTTTTATTCGCAACAAATATGATAACAGGTATTAATATGGCCAATATGATGAAAAAAAGGAGTAACAGTAAAATCCAAAATTTCCAAGTTGGTTTCTTTTCATCAAAAAATTTCATTTTGTAAACTTGTTCTAAACTCGTTATACTTTTTAAAGGTCTAATTTCAGGATTTATTAAAGTATTTGCTTGACCTGCAAGTGGAGGACCTGTTAAGCTGGTGAATGTGTTAGAATGAGAATCTCTATGAATATTATAACCTGAATTATTTGACGGAGTTGGTGGTGAACTATCATTGAATGTTTGCGAGGGTTGTTTATTATGTTGCTGTGTACTATTTGACTTTATTGAATCATGATCGTGTGGAGTTGGGGTTGAAGATGAGGAAGGGTGTCGAAATATTGGATCAGTTGTTTCAATATTATTATTACTACTATTAAAAACAGAAAATACATGCTTTTGATTTGGAGCAGCAGCATTCGTAGAAGAATTATTATTAAATTGTAATGGCGAAGGAGGTCTAAACATAGAAGAGTGATATAATGTTTCTTCTTGCGATAGTGATGATGATGATTGTTGATTATAAGGAAATGATGTCGAAAAATTATCATTGTCATCATCACTATCATTTTTTGAGTATGCCGTTAATTCCGGGGATTGAGGTTGTGGTTGTATTGATGAAGAAGGTTGAATTCTTAATGGTGAAGGTTGCTGCTGCTGTGTTAATTGTGGTGACTGTGAACCACTATGTTTTCCTGCCAATAGTGGAGAAAAAAACTTATCTTCTTCATAAGACATTTTTTTTTCTTTTTTTGTTTTAGCCCACTAATTTAAATGACACTTTTTTTTTTTGGAAAAAATTTTTTAAATTAAATATCCAATTTATTATAAAATACAATTCTATTTGTAATTTACTATGTGTAATAAGAATAAGTAATATAGTTCAAACACATATAATGTAGAATGGAAGAGAGAAAGAGGTAAGAGAGAAATGGAGGCAGGAAAATGAAATTGTTGGAGGAAGATATAAAAAAGGAAATAATATGAATTATTTATTATTATTATTAAAAAAAAAAACTTGAAATTTCCAAAACAAAAATTCTTAAAACATCTCCTAAAAAAATATTAAAAATGAATGAAGGAGAGATGTATAGATGTAATAAACGATTAAGTTTTTGATTAGAAGAAAATAAAATAAAATAAAAAACCAGTGCGTCTATTAAAAAAACCTGAAAAAACCAAAAAAAAATTTAATAAAGATTTATTTTACCATATATTATTATTTATATTATATATTTTCTCGTCACTTCATGCACTTATTTAAGAAATAAATATATTTTATAAATAAATAATATATTCATACATATTTGTACGTACGGTTTATGTATTGGTATTTTGAAAACATAGGTGGATGTGATTTTTAAAAATTTTGCATCACATTTTTTTATTACACAAAATTAATTCCTTTAAAAAAAAACCTCTACATAGACGGCCTACGTACAATAAGATGCCTCGAGCGACTCTTATTTTGTTTCCTGTGATATGTTTTAAAAGTATATTAACATTGTTATTTACATCTAAAAGTCTTTGAAGGACCCGGATTTTTGCTTGATGTGCCCACAACATCCATAGTGCAGATGATTTATGGGTGAAAGCGAAAATGTAACCAGGCAAACGAAAATTTTACAAGCTTGCTCTTAACACAATATGATTTATTCACAACGAAATTATCTGCGAAGCTTAATAAACTTTTGTTCTTTAACTTCCTAGTTAAAGTTTCCAATGCCTTACTTTCAAACACCATATATATCAAAAGACTTTATATTGAGCCAACCTTTTGAACATCACCTTGAAATTTTGTAACTGATTTTTCAATAGTGCCATGACTTGTGCGTGATTTAAACTCACAGAGTAAAACTACATGGTGTTTTCGCATAACCATTTTACAAACCTTCATTGACATTCATCCATAAGATTATGAATTTTCTTGGGGATTTGAAAACATGTATCAATGGAGCTTGTATCTTTTACACTTATTTGCTTTACCGTGAATAGAATTCCTTTCGTTTTGGATTCTATTGCAATACAAGCATAAATGATATAATCTACTTATAATATCCGTCTTCTCCATTATATAACCTCATCACTTGAATCATATCCGGTCATGAAAGTCTTCAAGCCAGCACTTCTATTCTCTTCAATCATCAAAAATTTAGAGCTTTGGTTATCAGTATTAAACTTAAGTGATTTAGATATATAAAGTAGAATCCACCAAGATAATTCATAGTTATATTTTAATTCGGGTATTGTTTAACACTTTTGAGGAACGAATAATGGTCACTTTATTTCTCTACCCTGATCTGTTGATCCAACGACAGTTACTGTAACTTGTATTTTTTAGATCTTTAAATTTTTTTCTTTTTTTTGCAGCATTATAATTGTTTAAAAGGTCAACCATTATCTCTAATACCATCAAGAACCCATCCGAGACCAGGGTCTTCAAAAATTTCAGATAATTATCACGTAACTATATATTTTTAAATATTAATATTAATTAACTGCTACTTAACATTTGTTATATGTCCACCGAGCGAGCAGTATCAATCCATCTTGATATGGTTTATCTTTCCTCTGAATTACATTAGGATAATTCACACGTATTTCTTGTTTTTGTCAATAACCCACATAGGTTATACATGTTGATTTTATTATACGTATATTGGCTTAGTTTTTACTGTTTCCCGAAGAGGATGAAAAGGTTACATCTTGAAAACTCTTCCATATGCCATCTGATAAAAGAATATTAATATGACTTAAATCATCATAATAAGGCGGTGTTGATTTAGTTGAATCAACTGTAACCCATGACTCAAGAGCTAGTCTTTTTAAAGAGTCATCTTATTGACTTGGGGCACTGCAAATTATTGGTGGCTTTTAAGGGTAACCAATTCCAGTGAGTTTCTGGATAAATTAGTCCAATAGTGGCTTAATTTTCCTATATTTGTTGTCAATATATTTTTAATTTAATATTAAATTATTTTTTAATTATATAAAACATTTTATTCTTTGTAAATAAAAAAAATAAATAAATAGAAATAGAAATAGAAATTCTCGCAAAGAATCAATTACATCTTTTAAATAAAACTTTTTTTGTCCAAGTTCTGATTAGGTTAATTAATTAATTAGTGATTTACCAAAAAAAGAAAAACCAATTCGATACATGGGAATTTAAACATCCAAAATCTTTTTTATTGCGATATATTTATCCGCTTGTAAGTGACATGTGCTCCGGAAGCTTTTACGAATATTTTATATATATACTAAAATTTTATTGGCAAATTCAGATTGATATAAATCATGTGACCTTGGTGGTATGTTACATTAATAAATTAATTATTTAAAAACGCAGGGTTGTCCGATATATATAACCATAATTGTAACAATACTATCATTATTTTGGATGTTTATGAAACAATTTAAAAGCCCCAGACCCGTTAGTAAATCCCAAATTGTAATATAATAAATAATGCAAAAAATCAATCAATCGAATGTTTTATATCATCGATGTATAAAGTTTTATTTATTTATTTATTATTTATTATTTATTATTTATTATTTATTATTTATTATTTATTATTTACGTTATTTATTTTTTTCTTTCTCCAAAAAAATTATTTATAAAAAAGAAACAAACCATGATTATATCATATAACTTGTTCAAAAGAATCTTTTGAAAAATCTCACATAGATTATAATAATTTATGTAAAGTATTGGAAAATATTATTTTCCATAGGCTAATTCTTATACATGAAACAATAGTAATACCACCACCGTCCAGAAATTCACACTTTTCATAAGTGCCCTATATCTCAGTCACAAGCTTGGACTTAAATATAAAACTGCCCTCTTTAAATACACGCATTCACCCAGCCCCAAAGGAGAGTGCACTTAAGAAATGGCTGACTGTATGTAAATTCAATGGTTTTTTTACTAGGTGTATGTATGATATCTATTAAAAACATGATCGACAGTGTGGATTAAGCATGTTAGCCGAAATTGGCCCTCTTAATAAATGATCATTGCCTAATCCGAAATGCTGAAATAGTTTTTCATAGATGCCAAAATTAATCTTTTAGTTGTCGAAATCATATCTGAAATTATTTGAACACTTTAACTAAATAGCCGAAATTCTGGGTAGTATTTTATGCCTATAGATATAAAGAATATTGTAAATCCGAAATTGCTTGCCGAAATTGTTTTTTTCAAAATCCATTTCGGTTAACATCCTTAGTGTGGATTTCAATAAAACACATCGTTGAATTTTTCAGCGAGTAAAAAAATGGGCGATTTATCGGGTAATTTAAGGAATTTTGTTTTTTGAAGTCAATAATATCTTTTTAGCATATTACAGCATTACTTTCTGCTTATCGATGTATAAAGCTTGCTCATTCATCTGTATGGTGAATGAATTGAATGAATGAATTGAATGAATGAATGAATATTTATCACGCAAAGAAATTGGATAAATTTACCAATCAAAAATGCACGAAGATCGTTCTTTATTGTGATGATGAAAAAAGATGAAGCCGGACGGAGATTTACGGATGAATACTGTCAAAAAACTCTTTTATCCAATTAATCTATTTAATTCTTTTTGAAGATCAAGAAAAAATTTTTTTTTGATTCTCTTGACATTTTAATTATAAATAATAAAAAATTTTTTTTAAATTTTTTTTTCTTTTTTCTTCTGACAAACTAAAAATCTTTTAATATATCTATTAACTGATAGATAAATTAATTAAACCACTCCCTACTCTAATAAAAACTTTTTGAAGAAAATAAATAAAAAATGACGGAACAAAATAAAAAATCTTTTTTGGTAGACTTTATGATGGGTGGTGTTTCAGCAGCAGTTTCTAAAACAGCAGCAGCACCAATTGAACGTGTAAAGCTTCTTATTCAGAATCAAGATGAGATGATCAAAGCAGGCCGTCTTCAAACACCTTATAAAGGAATTGGCGAGTGTTTCACCAGAACAATTAAAAATGAAGGAGTTATATCACTTTGGCGTGGTAATACAGCAAATGTCATTAGATATTTTCCAACACAAGCATTAAATTTTGCTTTCAAAGATAAATTCAAAAAAATGTTCAATTATAAAAAGGATAAAGATGGCTATGCTAAGGTTTTCCTTGGTAACATTGCATCTGGCGGTGCTGCTGGTGCTGTATCTTTGACTTTTGTCTACTCACTTGATTATGCTCGTACTCGTCTTGCTAATGATGCAAAAGCTGCCAAGAAAGGTGGCGAACGTCAATTCAATGGCTTGGTTGATGTTTATCGTAAAACCATTAAATCCGATGGTATTGTTGGTCTTTATAGAGGTAATAAATACGATTTTGATTTTTCTTTTGATTTTATGGAATCATTATTAGTTAATTAATCAAATACTTGACCATTTAGGATTCAATATTTCATGTGTTGGTAAGTTTGTATCAAATATGTATAAATGCACATTTTGCTGAATAATTCAGATTTTTCAGATTCACTAATTTTACCTTGTTGATAAATAATTAATATAATTTAGGTATTATAATTTATAGAGGTCTTTACTTTGGTATGTACGATTCTCTGAAACCTATTGTTTTAACCGGGGCAGTCAAAGACAGTCTTTTGGGATCGTAAGTATTGTGATTATGATTATGATTATGATTATCATATGATAACAATTATAGCGATCATCCTTCTATGGTATTATCACCATTAGATCATAAATAATCCTTCTAATTCATCCATTCGTTTATTTGCAATTACGATGAGACTAGATTCTTACTTGGATGGTGTGTAACTATTGGAGCAGGTCTTGCAAGTTATCCTATAGATACTATAAGACGTAGAATGATGATGACATCTGGTGAAGCTGTTAAATATAAGTCTTCATTACACGCGTGTAAAGAAATTATTGCCAAAGAGGGTACAAAATCTTTGTTCAAAGGTGCCGGTGCTAATATTCTTCGTGCTATTGCTGGCGCTGGTGTGTTGGCTGGGTATGTATCAAAGATTATTATTATATTTCAAAAAAAAGGTTTAATAATTAATTATATTATAATAATTAACTCTTCTTTTTTAAAAAAATAGTTATGATAAACTTCAAGTCATTTTCTTGGGTAAAAAATATTAAATCCAAAAGTATAGAAAAAATTTATTAATAAATAAAAAAATGCATGATTTATATAGTATAATAATAATAATAATAATAATAATAATAATAATAATACTTTGTTTTTTTAATCTTATTTAATTCCTTTTTTAATATATTCATTTATTTAAAAAAAAAAAAAAAACAACATGGTGTTATTTTTTTTAACAATAATTTATTTTTTTAATATAGATTAGAATAATTCAATAAATTTATTACTTGTTATTATTTATTATATTATAATTATTAATTTTGCAATAAAAATAAAAATAAGAATACATATAAAATTTAATCATAATGTCAAAGATAACTTTTACCACCTAGACTTTTTATCTATTATCCCAAATATACAAATAATGACGCGATGTCATTATTCCGAAGATATATATTCTGTTTATTTATTGTAAAGAATGACTTCGCAATATACACCGTTTGTGGCACTTAATTAAATTATAGGTTAGCTATTTTAATAAATATGAATTAGCTAGTTATAATTCCATTCAAAATTAATAATCTCATATATATTATATATGGAAAACAATTTATATAAATAATTTCTCCATAAATGGTATAAATATATTTACAAAAAAAAAAAATTAATAGTTATCCAAAAAAAGTAAAACTTCAAAATATTAAGTCTTTATTATATTTTTAATGCCAATCAAGCTCCTTCTAGTTGATGAAATTATAAATAAATAATTAAATAAAGGCAGAAATAATAAAATAATTGTTCAACTTAAATTATTAATAATTTGATTAGTAAATTCTGAATTTGTAGAATTGCCATGTAAATCTCTTGTAAGAGTTTTGCCATCAGCAATTGTTTTCAAGACTGCATTCTCAATATTCGTAGCATGATCATATAATCTCATATGTCGAAGCATCATTATTGACGAAAGGAGTAAAGCTGTTGGATTTGCCAGATCTATTATTAATTGATTAACCAATTAATTAATCAATTCGATTGGTGTTTTTAATGTTACTCGGAGGAAATTTCAATATATTTATATTTTATTTTATTTTTACCTTTTCCAGCGATATCTGGGGCTGTTCCGTGTACAGCTTCAAATACAGAAGCTTCTTTTCCAATATTTCCTGAAGGCGTCAATCCCAATCCACCAATAAGGCCTGCACACATATCTGATATAATATCTCCATATAAATTTGGCATTACCATCACTGTATCAGAATATCTCGATGGATCTTGTACAATCTGCCATTAATAATATTAAATAACGCTATAGTTAAATTTTTCATAATTATAATTGTAATTATCTATGTTAAAAATTTACATGAAGACATGCACGATCCAATATCACTTCATCAAATTTAACATCAGGATAATTTACGGCTACATCATAACAAGCTTCCAAGAATAACCCATCAGATGCTTTCCTATTGGACATTGAAAGAGTAGAATAAAATACATACAATCAATATCAATATTATTTTTTTAAAAAAAAACCACATTAGTGCTATTATTATTGTTGTTATATTTACATGATATTTGTTTTATGTACAGCAGTGACACTATTACGACCACAATCTCTTGCATATGTAAATGCATAATGTGCACATTTTTCAGATGCCTTCTTTGTAATTAACTTAATTGATTGAACAACTCCCTTCACCACCACCTTCACAATCTGATGTTGTTATTATTGGTGTATTGATTTGAACAAATTCATTTTTCTATCAAAATAAATTATTATTGGCGA